TTAAACTGAGGTCATTGAAGTCTAAAGTGTAAAGTGTAATAAATAAAATAAAATAAATTCTGAAAGTTATTTTCAAGCAGTGTTTAAGCAATGGACAGGCAACTACAGAAACTGTATACAGCCACGTGATGGGGTCATTTTTAAGACTTATATCTGAAAATCTGATTTTCTTTATTAAAGAAGATCCTCTTTTTAGGCATACCAGGAACAGAATTAAACTTGTATCTCCCACCTCCTCCCCTACAGGGACATCACAACAACTACCACCAGCACAGCCACCTTGTGTGGGGCCTGGGACGGCACTTCCCATCATGCCAGAGTAATTTCACTGAGCGTGTGAAACAGCTCACCACGACTTTGGAACAGGAAACTAAAGGTGGAGTCTTGTCTAAGCAGTGTTCCTCAACTTTTCAGTCACTGGTGTCTCCCTTGTCCTAAGGGGCCTTAAAGACTTAAAAATAATTGTTTTCTCCCAGTGACAAGTTCGAGTAGTAACACTACACTACACGTGTATATGTACAGGCACATAATGCCTGTGTCTTATATACAGAAGAAGTAAGTGTTGTCACATCCCAAGAACCCAGTTCTCCTTAGGGGAGAACTGGACCCTTTTGAGAACACAGTGGGTGAGTGAACAGCAAAGCTCCAAATCCAGGCTGTCTGACGCGGCCTGTGTTCCCTTCTCTGCTCAAAGGATGCCTCTTTCTGATCACCCCCACTGCAGCTTCAATGCCTTTCCAGTATTTAAAGGTCCTCCAGGTGGCATCCAAGCTGTCCCTTCTGTCCCCATACTTTGCTTCTGCAAGGCTGAAAGGCTGCTGACAACAGGCCAGCTTTAACCTTTCCACACTCTAGCTTCCACCCCCACTTCACTGTCTACAGCTGCTTGTGCTTCAAGACCCAGCTGAGGCCTCAACCCCTCCAGGGAGCTTTCCCTGCGTCCACCAGGTCTGGGTAATCCTGCTACATGCTCTCATAGTAACAGAGACTCACTCCTCTCCAACACCCTTTTTGGTTAAAGTGACCTGTCCACCTCCACTAAAGGACTACGAGGGCCCTGTCTCGCCAGACCCAGTACACAGACACTGCCTGGGGAGCAGGCAGCTGCAAGTGGGGTCACACCCAAGCAATAATAAAAAGTTGTATAATCTGTCGATAACACAGTCAAACCTTCAAAGTGCTGTATGTACTGTCTACTAAATTTGCAGTAGGGATGAGACTGAATGTGGCCCCAGGCTTCCATCCACAGCACAGGCCTGCCTGACACCAGAGTCCTCGGTCAGTGAGAACCTGAGGCTGGGCAGACTGAGCTCACATACCCAGCGCATTTCTTTCCTTCTCGTCCTGGGCGCCTCTCCCTTGCCATGTGAGTCAGAGTTCTCTTTTCTTGGGAAAGCCCTCCAACTTCCCCTGGCTGCTTCTGTCTGGACTGCTGTTGGCCCTTTGGGAAATGTCTCCTCAATTAGCTTAAGAGCCTAGCTTCATTTTTGGGCTTTTGAGTTAAAGAGATGATCCAGAGCTTATGAGAGTTTTCAGTCCCTCCAACCACTGGAAGGCTCTGGGGATGGACAAATCACTGAACTTAGCCATAAGAAACACCACCTTGGGACGTAACTGTTAGAGAAGAACTCCCTTCTCACCCGTATGGGACAATGGATGGCTAATGTGGGTCAGGTACCACCAAGTAGAAACAGAGTCTAAGAGAGGTCAACAGAGTAGATCCCGGAGAGTGAGAGAAATAGACACACAGTTCAATGCTTCTGTTCCACCTTCCAAATCCAACTGAGTCTGATGCTCCTGTTTTTCCAATTCCATGAATACTCTGTCCTTTTGTTCTTAAGGTTGTTTGAAATGGGATTTTAAATCAGATATAACACAAGTGTTCTATCCAACACGGTGGATGAGCATCCAGCACACTGCTTAGCCTACAGCAGACATTCCAACAGACTCGTTCCCCTTTCTTCCTCTGCTCAAAGCAAGCAGGTGGATTGAGCAGTGAGGCATTCACCTGCTACGCACAAATGCGGGTGTGCTCTGTCCCCACAGCCTGGAAGTCTCAGTGGTTAAATAAACACTGGTGGTTTAGAGTGGTTCTAGAGTGAAGAAGGTCTGTGCTCAAACCCAGGACTCAACTATACGACCCTGGGCAAGTGACTTGGACCCTATGAAGTGCTAAGGCCTTACTTTTAAAAGGGGGACAGTGACAATACTGATCATAGAGGTCTCTTGTAAGAATCACGTAAAAGTGTTGGGCACAGCACTTGGTACTAGAAAACGCCCTGGTGAAGATTACTAAGCACTACCTCACCTACAATGAGACTAGTGGAGAAAGAACTCAAGAGTTTTGGTTTCATTTTCTGCCAGTGCGTGAACCTATTAAATCACTGTGCCAACAACTCAAATACCCTCAGAAACCAGAATAACAGCTGTAAAGGGTCAGTCCCTGGTTCTAGAAGCTGTCATTCCAGCAAGCTGGCGTGGACACCAAGTGCCAGGCCTACACTGGGTAGAAGACCCAGAGGTTTTGATGGCTCTCCCTGCTCTGCTTATTTCAAGTCTGTTTGCCAGTCATCTCTCTCACTGCACCTCAAAAAGCAAAAAAGCAGCACTAGGGTTCCCACTCCACAACTGCTCGGCTATAGGGACGCACGCGTCTTTTCTGCATTTACCCATTTTTCTGGGTGAGCTCCCAAAGCTCGTGTCTTTCACATGAATAAAATAATCACAGAAATTAAAAGTTGGCGAGAAAAAGGTATCTATCCCTCTAGGCTATTCTCACCAGCTCATCTATCCTGATGCTTTTATTTTCCTGGCGGTGAGGTTTCTCCTTCACTGTCACCTTTGTGTACTGTCATTAGGCAACTGGGAAAAGCTCACAGCCAGAGTCTACTACGTGACTTATATACATGTATGCAAGACACGACCATTACATTTTAAATATGAAATATTAATACTATTCAATACATATTTTCTATTTGGACTATGTTTTTCAGAAGAATAGCTGTTTCTGTTTTCTTTTGGGAAAATACACCTGGATTAGAAGAGTTTAATTGAAGCTCCCTCTGCTCTCATACAACCCCTTTCCTCAAGTAGCTCATATCAACATGTGCCGTGTGGCTGGCCCTAAACATATCTGCTTAGCCATATGGTTCCTGGTCTTTCTGGTAACGGTGATCCATTCTGGGGTGGGAAGAGGACCAATCCGAAACAATCCTGAAGTTTTGCTTGGAACAAGGAACTTCACACCGGGGCTACTTAGCAAGCGTACCTAACCTAGGGCCGCTGTGGGCTCTCTCTACTCCTGCCCAATGACTACAAAGCACAAAGTGAAGCCAAGAAATGGGTGTGTGGCCCTTGGGTCACTTCCACTTGCTCAGTTGAACCCATGTTAGGCAGCCTCCAGTTTATCAGTGTGGTCCAATGGAGTATCTTCCTGGAGCAGGGATGACATGGAAGTTAAATATTCAATTCCTAGGCTCACTCCCAAACACAATGTAATTGTGTTAGATGCCTGGGGAAGCCTAAGCAGATCCTTCCATATTCCTTCATTCTATCCAACTGAGAATGGACTGCAGGAGAGACACACATGGTCAGTCGTCAGCAGATCCTGGTGATGCTACCTTCACAACACATCTTCATCCAACTGATTCCACCACTTGTGCTGCGCCCCTCATATCCCCTGCCCTCTTGGACTAGTTCAACAGCCTTCCCATGGGACTCTCTGCCTTTGGTCTACTCTTGTTTAGTCTCTCTGCATCACAACAGCCAAGTACTCCTTAAATCAAATCACAGCACTCTTCTGCACAAAAACCCACTTACCATAAAAGGCAATGTGTTTGCCATAGTCCACAAAGCTGTAGATGACCTCATTCTGCTCTACCCTGCATCTTCCTGACACTTTTCCTACCATTCTACTCCACACTCATGCTCTAGCACATGGCCCCTTGCTATTTCTGGACCATGCCAGACAGCTTCTGCCTCAGGACCTTTGCACATGCTTTTTTCTCTGGCTGGAACTGGTCTTGGATTTGCTCAAATATCACTGGGCAGTGAAAACTTAACTACTCTGAACACTCACCTCTAAGACTCAGCAAGCCCCTGTCTTTACAGATTTATTTTTCTCTATCAAACACTCAACACCATCTTAGTATCATATATTTTACTTATTTGCTTTATTACCTGTCTCCCTTACTACAATGTGAGATCCATGAGATCAGGGATTTTTCCAGTTTCTGCTCTTTTGCATTGCCATTGTCTAGGAGGGTGTCACACAATAGGGACACACAATTAATTTAATGTAAAGAAAGGAGGAAGGGATGGAAATTCATTCCTCATTGATGAAAGTGTTAAGGGGATGATGTCACCTATGTTAGTCTTAGAGGTGAAGGCTGCCAGGCCAACCAACTGGGTCAGCCTGCCTCTCTCATTCCATGAACTGACTGAAACGGCACAGCCAGAAAAACCACAGAATTTCCACACAGAAGCTCAAGCAGTCTTCTCCTGGGACCCAGTGAGAACCAGTTCAAGGATGACAATACAAGGACATCTCGCAATGTAGCAAATGTGAGATAATATGCTAAATGTATTCTTATTACCCCATTTTCAGCAAGTGGCTATGATAAAAAAATTTAAGGGCCAGAGGAATTATGTGGATCCAACAAAGTGAAGCATGATTTCAGAGACCTGGAAACACTCAAAACTTATTAAATCCTTGTAAAGTGCAAAGTGGACATGGGATTTGAACCTGATTCTCCTGGATGCCCAAGCAAAAGCCTCTGTCATTAAATCTCAGTTCATCACCAGTGCCTGAGGCCAAACAGCAGCGCTACTTCTGCACCAGCAGGCCTCCTAGGTGTTCACACTACACTAGAGCTGCCTTTCCTTTCTGAAGGATGAGGCCGCAAGTTTTCCCTCCCTAAAGGCTGGGCCTTCCCAGGGCAGTATGTCACAGCAGGACCCGGTCCCCACATTCACTCTGCAGGCGCACCCGGCTGACTTACCTCCAGTAAACTAGCACAGCAATGAGAAGGATGAGGCACACGAAGGTCAAGGCTGATACCACAATCAGAGGGATGATCCACTCCATCCTCCCAGGAGAAGGGCGGCTTATCATTCCAGAGGTATTCTTTTCTGCTGCAAAGAGAAACCATGCCAATTAGGGGATAGGTGCTCGTGGAAAGGGAAGGAGCAGATAGAGTGTGATGCAGAATTGTCCACTGGGGTGATTTCCTGAGACCTGGCCTGCTGGTCCTTGGCTATCCAACAACAGGAGGGGACATCTGCAGCTGGCACTGTTTGCTTCTGAATCCCAACCCATATGGGGCTTTTCCTGCAGGCTGTGTCCTGTGATCACCAGTGGGATGGATTTGCAGAAAGAGTGCGAGATTTTTTTCAAAGAGTAATACAAAAGAAAGACATCCAGTCTCATCTGTAGAACATTAGTGACCTGTAGATACTCTGAAGAAATGTGCTCCAGTCTGAAGACAGTACCAGACTGGGGCTGGTGGGGTGGTCATAGGAGAGCCCCTCAGAGTCCCCCAGAGCTGCTAGAAGAATGGCAGCAGGAGTCTGACTGGCAGAACCAGGGTAACCACAATGGCCGCGCATCTTTGCCTGCCTAGCACCCACTTCTCCCTTTCTCTCGTAACTAATTTGGGGAACCCTCTCTCCCAGTCATCCAAGCGTGCGATCCCGGTCCCCCGGCCAAGGCTGGGCATGGGACTCGGGCCAGGGTAAAGGTGCCCTCACCCCAAACCTCAACAAGTCACTGCTCAGGTTGTGCCTAAACAGCACAACCAAAAGGAG